GATCACATGATGTGCCTCCGCTTTAGACGACCCCCATTTTTGGTAATGTGCCCAACTGAAATAGTTAAAAGCAGATTTTGAAACTCAGTTTACGTGTGTGTTTCCAAACAGTGTTCAGATGGGTTTCAAAGCATAAACTAGCAGATTTAAGCAGGATAACTTCCCTAATATCTATGCAATGTAAACAGTCAATTTTCTTTATATCGAACTTTAATAAAGAGCTCACTCTAAAATAAACTTTTTTTAACAAATTTATTATGGAGTCGGTATAGGAACATAGTAAATTACTTCTTCAATAAACTTTTAAAAAGTTTTACTATAAAAACTATCAATTCATTATAGAAAGTTACCTATATACAATTTTTTTTATTTTTATTCTTTTGTTTCATATATAGATATACAATTACAACTCACTCACCATAGTAAAGTCCTCGAGGAAAAAATCCACACTATAACTTATATCAAAAAACACTAAACATATTTTACTAGATATGATTGAAATTTAATAATTCGCAATTCAAAACTCTTACTTGTAAAGAAGTAAGCTGTATTTTGACAGACTGGTTTATTTCATTATCTAACTTGTGAGTATATTTTAGAACTCTATAATTTTTATAGTCTTGTTCGAATTATTTATCTGTGCTAATTTGGTTCATGAATACAGATTTGTTTATAAATCCAATTACAATCGAGGCTTATGATAATGAACTTCTTTATAATGAACCCTGGACAAAATGAACATGGAATTTTAAATTTTATATTAGTTGAGTTTGGAAAGTGTAGATTTTTTTTGTATATCCGATGATTCGATATTATTTGTACAATATAATTCAAGTTTTACAATTCATTTGATTGAAAAAAATTTTGAAATAAAATTTCTGGAAAATGTTTTGACTTTTAAATTACTACTTTCATTATTACACAAATTAAAAAAAATGAATATAACAGAAACTTATTGAGATTAATCACCTTTACAAAAAACTATTGAACCTGTTAAAAAAACTAGTAAGTTATATGGGGTCTTTGCCTTGAAAATGTTTGTATTTATATGTGAATCATATTTTGACTTATTGATTCAATAGTTTATTCTCGAAATCAATAAAGGTCAAATGTGATCACATATAAATACAAACCGATGTTTTGGTCTGTTTTGTCCGAATTAGCCCGAACAGTAAGGTGATTTTCAAGGCAAAGACCCCACATAATCACATTTTTTTTGTAAATGAATATACAGTATAATAACGAATAAATTTAAAAGCAAAGACAAACATTCCAATTAAATCTCCATTATCAAAAACCTAAAAACTCTATTGCAAGTAAATCCATTAATATTGAAGAACAAGAAAGGATTGAGCATGAATGGCTTGTGAGTTAAAAGGATAAAATCATAAGTTGAAAAAAAGAAAGTATGTTGTGAGAGAAACTTTAAAAATTTTTATATAATAGAACTTGTAATTAATATGCTCTTCACGAATAGTTACATCGATATAATAATATGTTATTGTTTTTAATTAACATCGCAAATTCGAATGTAAGGTGTGTATAAATTAATTACACTTTTATAAAGTGAACCTTTTTTTTATTAATTTATTGTTATACTGTATTTATCTACGTAATAATTTATTTAAAATTATATAATTTATCGGTTATAATCCTAACAAATTAGTGAGTCCAATAAGCAATAAACTTGAATCCTCGATAACAGGGTTTCCTTCGTGGTAATTTTAAATTGCTTTCGGTAACGATATTAAAAAGCTTAAAGTATTGTACTGTACTGTCGTTTATAATTTTTATTCAATATAGTACAGTATTCATTTACATTTTATATAATGAAAAGGTGTACTGTACGGATACACATTATAGTACGTCTATATTTATGTACGGTACAGTACATTCAATAACAAAATACAGTACGAAACTTCTACACCTCGTAAAATTTTGAATAATACAGTACGTACTAAATCATCTTCAATACAGTACAGTACACCATATACGTAAATTCGTAATATTACGTACAATGGTTCAGAAATTTTTACGTCCTTACGTACGTACGTACGTACGTACAGTACATATCTGATATCTGATATGTTCATACCGTACGTACTGGTTTTACTTCAGTAAAGAGCATCTTTAATTCTATTGAATACTTTAAAAATATTTGACATGAAAAAAGGAGGGATACATATCATTTCATAGAAAATCATTTCAGACATTTTACTTCATAGAAAATCATTTCACAGACATTTTACTTCATAAAAAATCATTTCACAGACATTTTACTTTATAGACAATCAATTCATTTTGAAGACAATTAATTTACAGTTATTTTTATAAATAATTTTAACAGTGAATAACTTTTAATCTACTAATCTATTTTGGATAATTGGATTACCAAAAATCAAGTCGATTTAATTAAATTATCCAAAAAAGACCAATAGATCAATTAACTGTCTGTAAAATAAACTCTTCAAAATGAACTTGTCTATGAATTTATTGTCTAATATCTATGAAATGATTTTCTACGTACCCAAAAAGGATAAACACAAATACTTCAACCAGTTCTATGGGGTGGGAATGACAATTTTCTAAATTTGATTTATTTCTTTTATTCCTGTATATGTATCATGAAGACATGAAAGTAATAGATTCCTTTATTGAACTTTATCGTTATATCAGCTAAACTAAATTGCCTGTTTATGTGAAAGTTTTATATGAGGATTAAATTAAACTATGAACAAAATCTATATGCAACAAAAAAATTACATAAACCATTAAGGAAAAGACAGCAATAATGGTATTATAGTTGAATTATCATATTGGGTACAATTATCGGAACAAAAACCGGTATTAAAATTTTTATCTAAGCTATCTAAGCAACTTTGAACATTTCTCAAAACTATTTTCTTAAAGTAATCAGAACCATTTGGCGTAAGACTATAACTAGATAAAATATTTGTAACAGTACTATTGATGTTATTAATGTAATCGCCTCCGACTTCTGAACTTTTCGTTACATTCTCTTTTAAATCTCTAAAACATTTCGCCTTATTGTCATCTAAAAAATGACATATTGAAGGTGGATTTCCACAAACGTAATCCATTTTAATACAATCATCATATGTCCAATTAACACCTAGAGGAGGCTGTTTAACTCGACGAGGGTGATTACAATCACCCTTCATTTTTGGTTCCTCGTTGAAAATGGCATTTTTAATTATTCCAGCCATGCTTGAAATGAATGCTTCCGTAAAACTTTGAGTTTGATTAGTGACGGAACTGCGCACATCTTTGGTAAGGTTATCTACCGCAGTCGAATCATTTGAAACTTTATCGCTTGATATACCATAGAATAAATGATCGAGAACGTTGGTTTGGAAATTCCCGTAGATCGGTTTAACTTCGTCTGTCCAACTAACAGCGAAGGCATTGGAAATACCATTTTGGCACTCTGTCTCGCATGATTTTACTTCCTCAACAATAAAAAATGATGCGCATACGATTACAAAAATATCAACAATTCGAACAAATTTCATTTTTTTTGCAAGTACGGTAAAGAAAGTAGGAAAAAGAGAATAGGAAAGAGCAAGTGGGGAAGGGAGTGCTAGGTTCTATTGTTCTAGAGTGTATCTAGGACTACTTAAGAAAAAAATCTTTAGTAGAATGAAAAAAAACGGTTGACATTTGGAAATCCCGATACCTTTTTATTCTTTTATTAACATTGATGATGAAACAGTGATATACGGTACACAAAGTATATACGTGAATAATAATGAAGATTTAACATTTATAAGTATTTTTATTCATTTTTTTCTTGAACTATTTATATTTAGATCTGCTAATCAGTCAAAGTCAGAAAGAAAACTTAGGACAAAATTGCCAAGAAAAAACAATTTTTTGAATGAGTGTTAAAGTTAGAGAAATAATCACTTTATATGAGTCAAAGTCGATTTAAATATTTGTCTTCTTGTTTTCGCATTCTCTAGCTACTTCTTTGCTATTTCTTGGTATCCCTGTTTTAAGTGGATTTGAAATTTATATATAAAACCCCGTTTGGGTTGATTTTACTGTATCATATGTACACCCTAACCCTAATTTAACTAAGAATTCTAAATCCACTTAAATTCCATTCTCACTTACAACATCCCTACATGAATAAGCGTATGCGGGTCAATATACATTTTTATTTCATATTTTCTTTCATACACAGATCATAACAAATAATATTCTTAGTTGAATTATTATGATTTACAAGTTTCGCTGCATTTACCGAAATAAACTTATTATGAACCCAAATCGAGTAAATGACCTAGTTGTCACTTGAACAAAATTAGACAATTTAACCCCGAAATAATTAAAATGGACTGATTTAAAAGCTCGATATTGTAAACATACAACTTTGTCTGCACGATAATCTGAAACTTATCTACGTAATTAATTTGTGCGTTTGTAAAAAGTACTAAAAAGTAGTGATGGGACATTCCGCATTATTAATAATTAATAACGATAATAATTATTAACAATTAGCTCGAGTTATTAACTAAAAACTACTTAGTAATGTATGGCGCAGCTATTTAGTATTAGTACCGCGCAGGAGAAAAATATGCCAATATTTCCATACGTTTTTTTTTAACTAGTGCTCGGGTACGTCCTTATACCATGTACTAAATAGTATTTTATTAAAATGAGAGGGCATTAAAATTACGGTTTCGGAAGACGAGTTTTTTTTTTTTTTTGTTTGCGAAGTGACAAAATTTTATTAATTATATATGGATACGTACACTTGTTTATACTTCAACTTTTTAGTAATAAGGTAAACGTTATTAGAATTTAATATTCGTGTTAATAAACGACAACTACGTATAGCACGCTCATTAGCCAAATCCTAACAAGTTCGCCCGCATTAGGTTAGTGTTAGCTGAATTCTAATTAAGGGAATTTGGTTGTCAGGATTATTTGTCGAGATTTTGGCCCAAACAATTACATACGTTATATATACAGTTATTAAATGCTTGCATAACCATTTTTAACAATTACCGAAATTATTAACTATTACCGTTACGTATTAACTATTATTAATTAATAATTGTTTTATTATTAACTTACAATTCGGTAGCCCCATCACTACACATTACATTTAAAAGCAGACTATAAATTACGTCATTTACTTTTTTTATTTATTGTAAGATCATATAGATAATATTTTCACGGAAGATGGGAATTGGACGGCCAAAAAAAAATTAGAATAATCAAAATTTATGAACAATAGTGGTATACGTTATACTCCGGATGAGAATCATTCCACTCAGAATCGGGACAAGTCCCGGATGAAAATTTTGTATTTTTGCCCAAACTATACTAACTAAATCTAAATATTTTTTATCCTAAACCCTAACTCTAACCCTAACTCTAACCCTAAAAACCCTAATTATATCAAGATAATTTACAACATTCTCATCCAGGGCAGCCCGATTCCGAATCGGGACGATTCCAATCCGGAGTACAAAGTATATGGGCCATTTGCTAGGAAAATCACTATTTGAACGCAAGTGCCAAACAGTGATTTTCCTAGCAGATAACCCGACCTCTCTAAATGCATTGTGACGGGACCATATGTAAAAATGTGCATTTAGCATATAGAGAGGTATTGTATTTTAGGGAGGTAAAAATCTATATTATATTATGTGAAACATGCATCTATGGGCTTTCGTAGGCATTTGGGGTTGCATTTAGAGGGGTATAACTGTATATATATTTAGAAGTGTTATATATATTTATATTTATATACTGTATTATAAATTTGACATACGTATTCTAAATTCACTTTAACTTCTGGGAGACTCATGGGAATAATGTCGATGTTCATTGTGCAAAAAATTTTATTCTTGACATACATCGCTTAAAGTAATGTTTTTATTGGAGATATTTTTATTCAATAATGTAAAATGCTTCTATGATGTTATGATGTCTAACTCCATATCCAATTTTACTATTACAATTTAAGATTAGAATGTTGTAGGTTAAGGTTAGTATTAAAGATTAAATTTAGATTAGTACTATATGAGTATCGCCAAGGGGAAAGGACTGTTCTAAAAATAGATTATTATGAATTTTATAATCTATTTTTAAAACAGCCCTTTTCCACTCATTGAACATTTTTACTTAATTAAGACACCAAACATTAATTGCTTAGCCAGTTTTTTGAGATATAGTAACTATAGTTGTTTAACACATATGGTGCGTTTTAGTAGTGTCGATTTTTATTAGATCAATTTGACTAAATATATTCACGTGTTGATCAGTGATTTGACCTCGGAATAAACAGCTAAGGGTTAAGATCATTTCCACCTACAACGAACGTACGTACGTACGTACGTACGCAAATTACTTTTAATGGTACGTAACAACAAATGACAATCATAAATTATAATATATAGAGGAAATCTTGTTTATTACTTATAATTGACTATGTTAGGCTTTATACGTAGTCAAATGCACGTTCTTTATTATCTCATATATAATAAACCTTCATAAGCGCGGCCACGTGAACTTTTCTATACAATAGCCAATCATATTTTATTAAATACAATTATTAAATACAATTACAGTAGTGATCCAAATTACAGGAGGGACTGTCCAAATATAGAAATGATTTTCATATAGTTACACAATTGATCAACGATTTTTTTTATACAGTTTACAATACTTTTTTAGTAACCTCGGAAAGCTTAACTCTCTAAAAACGTGAATAAAATATTACAGATAAATCATTGCTTTTACTTCGCCTTATAACATATTTTTTGAATCACGGCGAATTCCACAATTTTTTTTTGTAATCTGAGCAATCTGATTGGCTGTCATCTATGAATCAGCCAATCAGATTGCTCAGATTACAAAAAAAAGTTGTGGAATTCGCCGTGATTCAAAAAATATGTTATAAGATGAAGTAAAAGCAATGATTTATCTGTAATATTTTATTCACATTTTAAGAAAGTTAAGCTTCCTGAGGTTACTAAAAAAGTATTGTAACTATATAAAAAAAATCGTTAATCAATTGTGTAACTATATGAAAATTATTTCTATATTTGGATGGTTCCTCCTGTAGATCCAAATAGTTGACAACTATTTAGAAAAATTTAAAAAAACAACTAATCAACTTAATGATCAACAGCATAGTGAAGAGATCGGAATGTTATACTGATAATCTTTATATATTAGAACAGCCCCCAGTTAACTTTAAACCAATTGTATACCATGAAAACAAATTGTAAAAAGTTGTGACTAAAAAATCTTAAAGTATATGTCTCGTTTTATAAACTGTAAAGGTAATTTGGTAATCCACGAAGTAATTCGAAAGTTAAATCAGAGGTATGTTTAAATGTTTGTGTTTAGCCTATAGCAATAAACCAATTAAACTCAGCAATTTATACTTCTTTTATTTGTGAAAACTTATTCTCCGTAATCCCAACTAATAAAGTAACTTGTCTATAATATAGGTTAATAATATAAAGTTGTGGGTTATAATGTTTATAAATCTCATGGAAGAGTTAAAGGAATTAAAACGAAGTAGTAGTATTGTAATCATATAACGATTATTAAATATATTAAAGACCAGTCTGATATTAGAAAAGCATTAAAAGTTGGTTATAATTTTTTTTATTAGTTATTAGCATTCTAGAATAGATTTAAACATTTATTTTTTTGTATTTATTGTTTTTGCTTCATTTTTTTCTTTTTTTTTGAGTCGTAGTATACAGGATCCTTTTTTAATAAAATTTTGGTTTGTCAGAATTTTGCCTGCTACAAGATTATAGTTTTAGGTTTAAAGTTATCGAGATTACATAGTAAAGGTTTCTGTCAGTATTAATTTAACCATACTATAATTATTTTTATACATTTTAGTTTTTTATTTGTGACATTAGTTAAAGTTTAGAATTTCGATAACCAATAAAATTTTTTTGATTTCACAGGCTGATCTACAAAATTGGCCAATCACAATGAAAACCTGCTATACTGGTGAAATAACTAGTCATTTGACTCTAAATGACCAAATGACCAAATGAACAAATGACCAAAATAATAATCAAGTCATTTGATCATTTGGTCATTTAAAAGTACTAGACAAAATTTATCAAATAATGATAATTTGGCAAATTGGGTCAAATAAACATATGCCACGAAGTGGCATATATGCTAATTATTTGCCCAATTAAACTAAATTATTGTATTCTACAATTTGTCTAGCATTAAGATTATCTAGCAATTTATAATCATAATTAGTAGAAAGTTATCAGCTAAATTTTAATTTAAATAAATATAACTACAGTATATTGTAGTATATAAAAAATAACGAGATAAATAGCAATTCATAATCATAAGAGTTTGTCAAATAATAATAATAAAATATATATCTGAATATCTAATAGATAAATGCATAAACAAATAATAAATAGAAATGTTAATTGTTGAAAAAATAAGTACTGCCCTTAAATTATCAATATATTAATTAAAAAAGTAAATATTATTGCTATTTTTAGAATATTATTGATATATAAATTTTGTATATAAATGCATAAAAGTAAAAATATAGAATTTTATTTAATGATTTACTATATTTGGTTACAGATATTTACTTTTATGCATTTATATATATTACTATAATATGCAGAAATCATAAGATTATAAATATACTAATTTAAAAATAGTAAAATAAATTTTGAATTTATATAATAAATTCTGATGAATTAAATATAATAAAATTTTTGATATATAAAAGCAAGATTAGATTTATAAAATTTATAATTATAATTTTCTATCATTATAGAAAAAAAATACAAATATCATTCATTTTTTACTTTAATTGATCACTTTACGAATAAATTAAACAAAAAAGCTATTTGTATTTGTTGTATTGAAGCAAATAGTTATAAAATAGCTAAAGAAAATAAAGACTGCTAGACAACTAATATATCTAAATGTTGTAAACTACATTTAAAAAATTGTTTAAATTTTTCTTCTAAATATATAGAAGAAGAACAAGCAGAAATTTTAGCTTCAGATAAAGAAGTTAATTCTGTACAAAAAAAATTACATACAACTTATAATAGTGAGTATTAATTATTTATATTAAATAGTTATTTTATAAACAATTTAGTTTATAAATTATTTTATAAAAAATTAATTTTTAACCTTAAAATTAGATACAGATTCAAATATTTTATCAACTTCATCTGATATGATTACAAAATCATATTCAGCTTAAACAAAAATATTATTTTATCTTGGATGACCATTATTTACAAAAGATATACCTACTTTTAATAATCTTTTACTTTGTATGACTATTTCAAAAGATTTTCATTTTCATGAATAGAAAATGAAAAAACCAAAAAATTTTTTAAATTTTTATCATCTAGTTTAAAATTGCCTAGCCAACCAAATTATCAAACTCAATTCTTAAAACAGCTACAAAAAAATCAAAACAAAAAATAATTAATTTAGCCTCTAATGATCAAATTGGTATTATACTTGTACTTGATGATTGGAAAAATATCTGTAATCAATCATTGCTTGGTAGTACATTAATACTTTCCTCTAGTGTTTCTTTAATTTGGAAAGCAATTGATATTAGTGGTGAATGAACTTATACTGCAAAAATAATTAAGCATATTGAAACTATTTTTATTAAAATCCAAGTAAAAGATATTTTAATAAATAATGTAGTAACAGATTCTGCAGAAGAAATGGCAGCAGCAAGGTTGTATTAAATATTAAATATATAAATTTAAACTTATTATATATTTTAATTTAAATTTATTTTATTTATTAGATGGCAATTACAACTAAAATATCTTGATAAAATCTTTTTACTTTGCTTTGCGCATCAGATTAATTTATATGTTGCTAATATGTTTAAATCCTCAGAAATATTTTATAAAACAGCTCAAGATACAATTAAACTTGTTAGCTATTTTTATCATTCAACCTATTTTACTGGTCTTTTACAGAATAAGCAAAAATTAATTTATAATACCTATTATGCTCTTATAAGTCTAGCAGTAACTCACTAAACTTCTTATTATTTTTGTTTTAATTTAATACTTCAAACTAAAGAAGCACTTAAGGTAAATAAATTATTTATAGTTATATTTAAGTTTTCCAATATTTATTTTTTTAGTAAACTACTTATTTAATATTATATATTAATAATAAATAAAATACTAGCTATAATTTTATATAATATTAAATAATTAGTCTATTAAAAATAATTATTAAATAATAAATAATACTTATATATATATTTTTTATTTAGATACTTGCCACAAAAAATGAAATATTAGTTTTAAATAGTGGGCTTTCTTTAAAGCAAGATATTAAAATTATTAATAATAATAATAATTTTTAGCAAAATTTTTATATTTTACAAAATATTCTTTTGTCTTTTTGTGGTTTGCTTAATCTTTTACAACATGATAAAGCATATCTTTATCAAATTGTTTACTGTTTCAAATATTTTATGAATATAGTAAAAAATTTAACTAATTTTGAGTTTTCAGAAAATATGATTTCATGATTAGAAAAAAGATTGTCTACTTGAGAACAACTACTTCTTCTTTTAAGCTTTTTATTATATCCAACCTATCGTAAAGCTAAATTTAATCCTAAAATTAAAAATCTTACTTATATTCATTTTGGAAAATAGTTAAATTACTATTATCATTTCTGGTCTAAAATGATCCTATAACATTACTTCAGGAACTTGAGAATTATAGATATAAATGATATTCTTTTATTTATACTACATTTTAACAATATATATCTGTTTTAGATTTTTGGAGTGGTGTCTCAGAAATGGCTTCTGAATTATCTTTTGTTGCACAAAAGATATTTTTAATTTGTATTAACTCAACTTCTGTTGAAAGATTATTTCTTCTATAAATTTTATATATACTAAACGAAAAAATCATCTTGAAGTAATATTAATTATTATTTATATAGAAAATTTTATTTTATTTAGATTAAAATTACTTAAAAAACTATAACATTATTTATATAACTAAATTAATAATATAATATTTTAAATAACTTTAACCTAGACAAAAATAAAAGTTTTTATTTAAATTTATTATTATATTTAATTAATATAATTAATAATGTTTTATATTATTATTAGTATGAAAAGGTTTTTGATATAAGTCAAATATGGGAAAAAATTTTATATAATAAACAAATTCAAAAATTAAATAAATTGGATACTATTTATTGGCATAAATACCTTGCACTTCCAGTTTCTAATGATTAAGAAAATTTACAAGATGAAATTGAAACAGACAAAAGTGAAAGCGATTATAGTATTTCTTTATTAGATAATGAAAATGAAATATATGCTCAAAAAACAATAAGCGATTCTGAGGATATTAGATTAGAACAAGCTTGGAAAAATGTAGTTAAAAACTGGTTTAATATACTATCAGAAGAAAATAATGAAGAAAATCAATTAACAGATTCAAAATCTAAACAAGATATTACAATTTATTCTGTTAATAATTCTAAAGGCAAATAGAAGCTTAAAACTTTATTTATTGATATATTAGATGTATCTATATTTATTGATGATTTAAAAATATAAAGTAAGAAATTTAAATTTAGTTTAAATATGTATAATATTATAATTTATTTATATATAGTAATTTAAATTATATATATGCATATATACACAAATATATTAAAAATATATTATAATTTATTATACAACTTTATATTTATAAAGTTCTAATTTTATTTTTCATATTTAAATTTTGCTAGCAATCAATTTTAAGAAATATAAACAAATTATATATATAATAATAAAATATAATTTTTAAATTTATATAAGCAATATTTTTTCTACTAATTTATTAAATACTTTTTCATATATTTATTTAATATGTTTAGATACAATTTTAGTTTTGATATTTATAATAAATTGAAGATTTTTATATATAGATTATAACAATTGTATATACAAATTTTAAACTTTCTATTATTTTATTCAAAGCAGCTTATATTATAAACATTGTAGTTGAAAATAACAAATATAAAATATTTATTTGATATAAAAAAATCTTACGTAAATATATATATTGTTAACAATTATTATTTAATATATAGCAAAAGATGTGTTTTTGATAAATCATTAATATTATTTGAAAGATATTAATATATAACTATATTTACAAAATTAGAAACATTAATTGTTAGAAAAATTAATCAATTAATATATATATTTATTAATATATTCAAACAATATTTTTTGTATATAGTAAAAATAATAAATTATAGATATGAAAAAACTTTTAAGCCCAATCATTAGACTCAAACAAGTATGAATAATATTTGCATTGCACAGCACAATTAAACTATACTGGCAAATAATTTAGGCCAAAGATGATTTTTATAGAAAGTTGTCAGAAGTATAAGAAAAGCAATTAATGATCAGAATGACAATAATATTCTTATGTAACCAGTAGTTTTTAGCCTGTTGAAGCAAAATAGCTATAAGAAATTATACTAGGAGTTACTATAGGATTATTGTAGCTAGTAGAGTTATTCTCTACTTGCTAAAGCAAGCAAGTTATGAATAAAAAATGCAAGACTTTCAAGCAGGTATTATATATAAAAAAATATGCATAATATTCATTTATGTATATTAATAATTCAAATGATGGAAAGTTAACAGATCGAAAAGGTAGCCAAGCAGGAATATACTAGTAATAATAGTCAATTTAATCAAATTGAATAAACAGATGAGTGTAGTATAAGAAAGCACATATAATTAGATAAGCATATACATATATATAATTTAATCACTTGCTCAATTTTGAATTATTAAATAATTACTAGCCTCTATTGTCAAGCTAGATATAAAGACTAGCCACTACTATATATATAGGCAGAATGATGCCAATAGACAAGAAACAAGATTTGTACCCAAACCCTTTTATCCTATGCAGAATCTTGCTATTTTGTGTAATATTTTCAAAACTTCATATCAAGTCATTTGCTTAGTGCAATGCAAGAGTCTACTGACTAACATAATACAATTCAGCTAATAATGATGACTTCTGGTGCAATCATGGTTGTTATTTCTGGGACCATATCTCGTCTTAGTTTGTATCAATATATCTGTGTATCTCAAGTAAAAATCATTTAAAAATGTTAATATCTAGCACTATTGTCCAGATTCTTCCAATTAGTAATAAATTTATCACATGCATGCAATATTTTTTGTTGATTCAATTAATCAAAATGTATTGTATGCATATAATATTCAGCATATATATTTGGAGTAATATACCAGGAATGAATTTATTTAAAGAATTTATATATTATTGCATTTGGTCATCTTAGATTAAATCTTGCTTGGCTGCAATAAATTACCTCATAAGTGCCAAATTTAGAAGTTAATTAAAGTAATATCATAAATCTTAATTTGTTCTATATTCGATTCTGATCTTCTTTGCATTGCTTTGAAATTTGTGTCATAGTAGCTCAGTTAAACTTATAATTCATATGTTCAACAGAGAGTTCATATGTATCAACTGCTTAGCCCTCTTTTCAATCTGTTGACTGCATGTCAACTTGAAAAATAAACCTGCTTATTAGATAAATATACCCTTTTTTAGATTAAATCTATTAAGATACATAGCTTAAAAGTTCATAAAAAATGATAAACAAATTATATAATATCTTAAATTGATTGCCAAGAGTAGTAAGAATTTTATAAGCTATAAAATTTTTATCTTGCATAAAATCTAAATTACACCATCAAATGAATAATAAGAGATTCTTGACATAAAGTCTGAAGCTAAGAGCACAAAAACCGCATTCATTACAAGTTGTCAGTTATACGTACTAGTTACTAAATATGTATACTTTTTGTAAAAAAAAGTGTACAATATTGATACTGGGTAAAATTGTCAAATAACAGTAATTTGGCAAATTGGGCAAGTAAACAAATACTAATTATTTGTCTAGTTGAGACTACTGTTATTAGGCAAAACTATTTTTGAAAAATAGCAAAAGTTGAAACTAAGCCCAGTGAAAGTCGAAATTGCGAAACTTTGGTGAAACAGCAAAACTTTAGTAAAGCTGAAACTCTAAAAAAAATCAAATATAGTGAAGATCAAACTCTCTAATATTTTGAAAAGACTATCATGATGGTAAATTAAAATATTTTTCATATGACTATTAAGCATAGCATGCAATAAACAAAATGATAACCTTGTTTTTTGTTTGTATTCGAATATTATTAGACTTCAGGCTTTTGGATTTATAATAATCAATTTAGCCTTGAAAATTCAGAGCTTGAAATTCTGTTTTCTTTCAATAACATTTATCTGTGTATTAATATTATTTCTATAAAATAAACTTATCTAAATAGTTATTATTATTTTTATATTGTTAAGATTTTCTCTAATATTTTATTGTCAAAACTTTAATTAAATATTATACATATATAGATAGTTCATTAATATTATTATTATAATAATTATTTCCTGATACTCTAAGAAAATAATTATTCAAATGTAGTAAAATTTATATCCTGATTGAAACTTGACCCAGGTCAAATAAATCAATTAAAAAACTCAGTTGGCATCACATAATCCCAGCTCTCACTAACCCTAAAATTCTGCTAAATAATATTTTGATTTGGGTCAAATTTAACTTGATCTAAAATCCCAATTTGACTATTCTATTAGTTTTCTTATCTTTTACCAATTTAATTATCTTTTTCCAGTTTTACCACTTTTTAGCAGTTTTATCAGTTTTGCTATTTTTTTATTTTTAATTTTTTGAGTAAAAGTTGAAATTAGTTTCAATTTTTGCCTATAGTGAAACTCTAGATTTTGTCTAATAACATTAATTGAGACAAAGTATCTGGCAATTTATAATCATGATTAATAGGAGTTATCTGCCAAGTTTTAATTTAAATAAATATATTTATATAGTACTATATGAAAATATTACAAAATTTATTTATATTTTGTAATATTATAATTTTTGTATTAGATCATTTGGTCATTTCAAAATAAAATGACTAAATAACCAATGACCAATTCATTTGGTCATTTGGTTATTGGTCATTTAAATTACCAACACCTAAAAATGTGTTTTCTTGATTTTTTTCATTATATTTATAATATATCAACCCTTCACATATATATTTTGGTAAAAGCTCTTCCTCTGATGCATCTAATAGATTATTTTTTAAGCTAATAAGTTGTTAACCTGAGAAGAATCAAATGAAAGTAGTCAAAATAATTATATATATTCAATGAAGTGATAATTTATAAGGAGAAGTTCATTTTTTACATTTCTTATATTATTTGATTCATAAAAACTTTGGCAACAGTTTTGTCTTAAGAAACAATATGTATTGGATTTAAGGTTTTGGGTAAAATTTTTAAAAATGCAATTTCATCAGTTTGTGTAATTTGTGAAGATCATATAATAAAATTTTAGATGTGACAAATCATGTAACTGATATTAAAAATTGTGATATATATATGTACATATATATATCTCTGATAATACTAAGATTGGCAAAATATAAACAGTGTGAAATATGAACAATGCGAAATATAAATACAATTCATATCCTCTATATTATATTTAGCTATTTTTATTTTGGTTCTATTTTTGATTATTGTTTTAATGTTTATTGTTTTGACAAAAAATTTTTTATGTGATCATTTTATGAAATTTTTTATATATAAAGGCATAAAAAATTCTTTGGTAGACTTTATAGCTTAAATATACTTTTATATTAGAAAAGAAATAAAATATTTTTAAATATAATTTTTGTATTAATAAAAAATTTAAAACTTTTACTTTGTAAATATTATTTTCTTGCAAGCCAAAAGAATTTAAACACTTTAACCTAAAAAAGACATAAAGAAAAGACTTAAAATTATACAGATAAGTATATAATTATATATTATAATTGTTATGAAATTTTAATTTATAAAGATTATAAAATATTTATATTTTTTTTATTTTTAATATAAAATAGCAAATCCTGGGTTGAAAGTATTTAAATTCTAATTGGCTACAAAAATATTATTTTATATAGTATTAGTTAAAATTTTTTTTTGCATTTAAAAATTATATCAAATATTTATTTTTTTATAATTATAAACTTATATATGGGTTGTCAATATGGCATGTCATTTTCAATAGAAAACAGTCAAAGATTTTAAATATGAGTTGTTTTTTTATAATAAAATAATTAAGCCCAAAAATTTTTTTACTATATAAAAATCTCTTGTTAATAAAGTGAACCTTGATATATAGTAAATTTACATAAAAATAGTGAAAAAATCTTAAGCTTAATAATTTAATTATAATTAAAGTAACAAATATTAAAAATCTTATAGTAAATTTACTATAATTAAAAGGAGGTTCACTATAACAAGAGATTTAATTAACAGAGGTTCATTATTATTACTTGGCATAACAAGTAATTTAATTAACAAGAGATTTACTATTATTTATTACTTGGCATAACAAGTAATTTATATT